TTTTTTCCAATACCATTAACTATATTAAATGAAGATCCTAATTTTCTACAATGTCCTATTGAAAATGGAGCATATGTTCATACAACGAATTGTTCACTCTTTCATCATTGTACATTTGGTATACATAGAATTTATTCATGCATCGATGAGTTCTTTTTCAATCCAATTAGTAGTCGATGTCAACATTTATTAGGGGTAAGAAATTGATTTTTTTGTTTTTTGAAATTATTTTATGTATGATGTCATTTTGAATATTAGGCAAAAGAAGTTATATGTGAAAGAATTATTCAAAAAATGATGGACATAAATTTTTATCCACTTGTTGAAACTGTTGAAGGTAAATAAAAATATTTTATATGTATAGAATTCGTTGTTGGTTGATACTTTTATTAAATTTAACTCTCGAAAAACTCGGGCTAAGATTAATTTTCGTATGCAAAATTCTTCTAATAATAATGATTGTTTCTCAATTCTAAAGGTGCTAAGAGATCATAGATAGTTATGGACTTCTAAAACGGTCAGTTTTCGATTATTCTAGTTGGAAAAAAAGTCCTGATACATACAGAAAAGTTTGTTTTTCGTTTTTCTCGAAATCGACTGTTTGCAAAAAGAAAATACAGGATCGTTCCAGTTTCTTTCGACGTAGTATGTTCAATTAAGCTGAAGCTTCTTTTTTTTTTACAGATTTCCGGTATTTACTTGTTTTTGTTTTGAAAAATATTGCACCATTGTTTTGGGGGCAGATTTTACAAGCAAAAACATGTATTTTTGGAGGTGCGTTCACTATTTTAACCTTTTTTATGCGAATGAAAGAAGATTAGAAGAAATTAAAAAGCATAGGCATCCCAAAACAGTGTCTAGTATCTATAAACAAGATTCCAGTTTCCCGGGACTTATTATGGCTGTGAAAAGCGGGATGATTTTTAGTCTCTACAATCCAAATATTTTCTAGAAGGAAGTATTTAGGAATTGAAATCTATGACATGTGTGTTCTTTTATTCATCTCACAGGTGTCAAATTTCTGTCTTTAATTGCTCACTCATTAGTTGGATTTTTCATCTGTCTAAATAGCATTCATTCTCTAGACAACTTCTTTCGAATTCCCGTTGTCACGTGTATATATATATATAGATTACGATTCTCATCGTCATCGAAAATCAGCAACATCAAATTGTACTCAAACTGGAATTTATCCAGATATACTCGATTGTTCTCTCTTTCATTATTGTCATAAAAATAAACATCATGAAATATTTAAATGTCCAAATGGACTTCATTTTGATCCAAAAACATTTATGTGTTTACCTTCACAACTGGTACTGTCAATTATTGAATTTACTTATTCATAAAAATAGAAATTATTTTAGGTTAATTGTCAATATGAATCGTTAACAAAAATAAACAATCATATAAGTAAATATTAATTCGAATCTTTTATATTTCATATTAATTATTTTATTAGATACAATCTGTCGTGATTATGCACCAGGAACATATTTACCTGCACCAAATCGTTTTGATGAATTTATAATATGTAAAACTGATGATAGAAGTATTTCAATGAAATGTAAATCTGGTTTGATTTATAATGCATTGACCACAGCTTGTGAGAAAGGTAATTTAGTTCTTTTGTTTTTTTCTTTTGAAAATTTATATTTTAACAGAAAATAATTAATTTCTTCTAGGACCTTGTACATTCGATTCAACCTTATGTAAAAATGAAGGTCAATGTATAGATGAACCAACAAATGAGAAAGGGTTTAAATGTATATGTTCGAATCAATTTCAAGGAGATTTTTGTGAGAAAGGTTAAAAGGAACACATTATTGTTTGAAAAGAAAAGATATGATTTGCAATGAACTTTTCATTTTAGATATCAATTTGAAAGAAACAACTGAACAAGCCAATTACAAAGAAATAATGGCAAAAAATTCCGATCGTTTCCTTCAGTAAGTTTGGAAAGAATTTTATTAATAAATTTTTGTATTTCTCAATTTCAGACAAAACAATTTTGATGAAACAACACATATACCATATACTGATAAAGTAAATATACTTCGGTAAATATTTGTCGTAATTGTTGAAACAAAAAATATTTAGGATTTTAAATTTAGAACAAATAAACCGATAATAACAGCCAAAACCTCAATTAATTTATCACAAAATAGATCATTACTTTAGTAAGTTTCAAATATTATTTTTTGATAATTAGGATGTTCATTTAATGAATACTAGTGAGTAATAGAGAAGTCTAAATTGATTAAGTTTTCTGGGTCTTTGTTTCTCTCAGATGACGTAAAAAATCGTCGTCCAACTCTGCATAAGGAAAGTTCACAATGAAATCAGTTAATTATACAATTAGTATTTTCTTTCTGAAGATGTAAATATATGAACAAAGTTTGCTTTTATACATGAGAGAATTTCGAATATCTCAGGATAGGAGAAATTAGAAAAGTTACAACTAACATAATCAACGAATCTCGTTGGGAAATTTCATCGTGCAGAGTTTGAAGACGATTTTCATATAACCTGAGTGAAGCAAAGCCTTTTGTTGAAAAATCGAGTAAAGTTTCGATATCTTAAGAACAAAGATCCGGAAAATTAAATCATTCTAGATTTTTCTATTACTAATTAGTACTCATAAAATGAATATCGTCTCGATTGAAAAGTGATTTGACAATAGGAGAGACAGCCTTGAAAGTCCATGAGGATAAATCCTTTTAGACATTTACTAGTCTCACCTTGGTATTTTTGTAGGTTCGAGATTTGACTAATAGAACTCATACAATGACTGTTAGAATCTTCTGAATGTTTTAACAAAAAAAAAAGAAAACCTTTGTTTTGCATTGAAATTCACTAAAGCAACCATCATAAGTTACTACCGAAATATCACAAACCTAATTCATTTAAAAGTTTGTCTTTATCTCATAGAGATCTTCTGGTAGACAAAATATGAGGTAAAACAATGTTCAGCATTTAGTCTTTCGAATAAATATTTGACAACTATATTTCATACAAGAGAAAAAAAGGAATATTCTTCAATAACTAATAGTCTTATCAAACTCTTCGATTAATTTTTTATAGTACTGATTCAGAACTAAAAATAAATTTTATTCTAATTGAATTTAAACAAGCTAATTTTGTTTTTTTTACTTTCAAGCTCTGAGCAACAGCGACAAATTGAACAAATGATCAAAATAATATTTATCATTATTGTAACTTTAATTGGTCTTATTTTACTTGGCTCAATTGTATTTGGTATAGTGATAATAACTCGTTTGATTGTTTATTCATCAAGACAAACAACTGGCGAATGGAAAACATTACAAGAAGAATCAAATATTTAAATTTGAAATATTATTCAAGTTCTATGTGATATGTTTCGATTAATGTTTTTGATAAATAAAACTATAATACATCAATTTGATTCTAATGTTATTGATAATTTTGCACAATAAAAAAAAGAATTTATCAAATAAAGAAAACTTATATTTATTTTTTTGAAAGATCAGCGAATTAGCATTTCCTACTTGTTTTTAATTAACTATACTTCTAGAAAATTTTAGATGTCGAGATTTAAAGTTAAGAAGGAAAAATACTTTTTTGTCAATTAGATACCAATCATTTACACATAACAGAATGTACATATAACAAGAATTTCTTTTATAATATAATAGAGATACTATTGAAATAGTAAATACCATAGATGTCCATCACAGCTGAAAATCTACCGCTGTCGTAATGGCTTTTGACAAACTCTTCTAAAGTCTCTTCCACCACTATGCTAAATTATTATGCAATTCTATGATCTCTCTAAAGAAAGAAGTTGCCGCTATACTGCGATTGCATTCTTGACGCATGTCCCACGCGACGGTGATTTTGAAAATAGCATTGCTACTGCACAGTTGACGTCTATTTTTTTTTCCATTGTCGCAAATGCTAATAAGAATTCGAATAATGATTTTTGTAGGATAGGATTCACTCGAAATAATAGAGCAAGTAAAATATCTCCACAAAATGAAACGTCTTCCGGTTTTCTGCGATATTTTTCCATCGAGATAAATCAAGATTATGGAAGGCACAAAAATGAAGTTTATATCAGAGATCTACATGATTTTGATGTGAAAAGTCGAAAAAAGCGAATTTTGTGTCTTCCGTAGGATTGATGTATCTCGATCGAAAACGAATTCTATTTCTAACTTCTACAAGATGAAAAACTTGGATCTCGATTGTTTAGAGATTCTGTTGTTGTAAAACTAGCAATCATCTTCGTCTTCCGAAATTCTTGTTGGATATAAAATTCTCTACACAAAATCACTATTTAAATTCTCATTAAGGTTTACATAAATCTGGTCGAATAATTTTGATAGCCAATGTATTTGTTCTATCTGACATCTATTGAATCATTGTTTAATTCGTCTAATTAATAAAACACAATGTTAGTTTATGGAAATCTTCCACGATTTAATTTCTCTGTGATATACGATGAGACTTTCAAGAATTCTTTTTCTTATTTGAATATTAATTTCCCTAGTAAACAGCAATGTTAATGCATATAAATGGTTAAAATAGTATGTAAATGATTTTGTTTAATTTATTTCTATTCTAAATGCTTCGAAGCATTTACTATAATTAACTGCAAATCATAATAATTGATTACTTAAGAGACAATCAATCAAAAATATAATTTTAAAATTTATTATGAATCTATCTATTTTTTATCGATGATAATCTTCGATAAAAATTCAGAATTTTATTGAAATCATTTTATTATTTTCAACAAACAGATTAAAGTTTATAATATCGTCATTCACATTATGTCTTTGATTAACATGTTACATGCAGTTAAATAAATATCTTTTTGGGTCATGTTACACATCGAAATTATCATAACTTATTTGTTTTCGTTGTCTATTTTTTTATTATTATAAATAAATGAAATCGTTTTTTTCTTTAACATTATGAACAAAAAATTGTTAATATTTCTATATTTTTTAGATATGTCTACCTATTCAAACTTCTTTCGTTCTCTTCTTTATTTTGGTACTAATCAACAGAAATGGAAATTAACTGTTCTTGTTTCATCAGTTGGTCTTAGTACTGCTGGTTTTCTATGGCATCGTCATCAACATCATCATTATGCTAGTTCATATAGTCTACATTTAAAACGTTATTCTGCATCTGCAGAATATCCTCAATTAACTAAACATGCAAATTTAATGGCTCGTCAATTGACACCACAGGTTAGACACTGAATTCATTTTGCTATACTGAACAAAATGACATGAGAGAATCTAATAGATGTATGCTAAACTTCGTGATCGTATTACACCATCAGGATATACAATTGATGATGTTATACAAGTTGGTGTTGATAATCCCGGTACACCAATTCGTCAATATTTTGGTGTATCAGCTGGTGATGAAGAATCTTATAAAGTAAAATATTTTCATTATTTTAAATATAATTAAACATTAATCTTATTTTAAAATAGATGTTTAGTGATCTATTTGATCCATTAATTCGAATACGTTATAATTATGGATCGGATGCACGTCAATATCATGATACAGATATAACTAAACTTCGTTTTCCATTTGAATCGGATAATACATTTGATATAAATAAATATATTCTATCATCACGTATTCGTATAACACGTAATCTTTCTGGTTTTACATTTCCAACATTCATGACACGAGCTGAACGTCGTCGTGCAGAAGGAAAATTAAATAAAGCATTTGAACAACTCATCAAAGAAGATAATCAATTTAATGGAAATTATTATCGTCTTTCAATGATAGACGAACAGTTACAAAAAAATTTAGCCAATGTAAGCGCAAGTATGTAGGAGAGTGATACAGTCCAATACAGACATGGTCATGATCAGTTGTTTTTTATGCCAGTACCAACAAAATCTAGTTTCATTTCCAAACTTGATCTGAAAAACTGGTTTCGATCCCAATTACAAGGAATTGGTTCCAGTTTCGGTATAGATTTTGCCGAAACTTTGTTCATCCTGCTCATATCTATTTAGAACACATGAGTCGTGACAATATAACATTCGACCCACATTTTAAATGATCATTAAAAATATTGTTCGCAAGGAAAAAATGTTGGTCCCGATCTATCTTGCCGGAATCGTTTTGCACAAATCAAGTCTAATATTAAGAAGTTGTTAGGAAAATCGATACGAAATTAAAGAATAAAATGAAGTGTAACTTGTAATTATAAACGCGAAGATTTAGGTCTTATTATGCAATCATCGAAGTTGTTGTTTAGCCTTCAAGATGTCTTATCAATTTTAGTTTATTTATTTTCAAAATAAATGCAGTATAGAATAGACCGAAGACAATAAGATTTCATGCTGAAAATATTCTGTCGTAGCTGGGAGATCAACACTTTCTTTGATTCGATTTACATAATAGAAAATGTATAAGTACTTGATCTTAAATCCAGTAGCTGCAAAGAAACGAATGATTACTTCAATAAGATTCAGTTCTGGTAGCGAATTCAGTAAAAAAATGTTATCAATAACGATCTTAAAATGAACTTTTGTACATTATGACCCATTTAACTGATGATATCTCTTCTTGTTGGATGATCGATTAGGCATGAACATAATCAGTTATTTTTAGTTCTGATCTCGATTGAAATCCACATAGGAGTGACGGCACGATCAACATTTATTAATTGTTATATTTTTACAAAATAATATGTTATTGCTTTTTTTTCTAATTAGGATGGTGTTTATTTATATAAACCTCAAACAATGAGTTGGCTTAGTTCTGGTGTTGCACGAGATTGGCCTGATGGACGAGCTGTTTATGTTAACAATGATAAAAGTGTATTTGCTTGGATTAATCAAAAAGATCATTTAAGATTTATTAGTTGGAGTACAAATAATGCAAAAAATAATCTTCGTTCAGTAATAACAAAATTTTTTCAAGGAATTTCTTTAGTAATTATAAGAAAAAAAGACAATTTGTTGATTCTTTTTTTTTGAATTATATTATTTATTTATTTAGTTAGAAAATGCAATGAAAAATGAAGGTATATCATTTGCAAATGATGATCATTTTGGATATTTAACAACATGTCCAGCTAATATTGGTACTGGATTAAAAATTAATGTTTATTTAAAATTACCATTGTTAACAAAAGATCTACGTTTACCAACAATTATCAAAGATCTTAATTTAACAATGGACGAAATTATGGATCCTGATGTAGAAGGATTTAAAGATTGTATTGATATATCAAATCGTGATCGAATTGGAAAAACTGAAGTTTGTTGACTTTATGCTGTTTTTATAATCATACAATCGATTTTGTTGTCTCTATTTTAGATTGAAATTATTCAACATATTCTTGATGGTGTAACAAAGTTAGTCGAAATTGAACGTAAATTAGAAGCTGGCGGTAAACTCGATGAATATCTACGACGTTAGAAGATTTTGCTTTTTCCGAATTCTTTTTTTTTTTTTTTTGTTAATTTTTCATAGAAAAAAATAAAGATCGATTGTTGAAATAAGTACTGTTCTATTTAATTTACGAGAATATTGAAAAAGAACAAGGGAGCTACCAGAACTGATAGGGTATAGGTGTGGGTGGATGTCTCATTTCAATCCAACCATATCCTGATGTACACTTTTGTTTTGCCGACCAACATGTAAAGCAGAATGTACATCAGAAACAACAGATGTTCTATACATTTTGCTTGTGCTTGGTACACCTGCTATTGCAAACACTGTCCGCCCACAACCTTGATAGAAAGTACACAATGCACAAGAAATTAAGCACATGATAAAACTTTGATAGAATTGTGAGAAGCAATGGGTTAATCTATCTAATTTCTTATATTGTTTGTTTTGCGCTTAGGTTGAACACAATAGGCTTCTATTTTGTGCTGAGTGGGTGAGGTTAACATAAAAATGACGATCCCTTGCATGTCATTTCAAATATATCTTAGGAAATTTAAAAGAAAAGATTTTCAACCAGTTTTTATGTTACACCATCTTTGCAGTCGTGCTTGTTGACGTAAGAATATTTTCATCGACAGCATGCAAACGAAAACGTTGATTGAGCCCACCATGATAGCTATACAATTGTACTTGTGCTCCATTCTGTCCGGCATGACCATAAGGATCATTGTGAATATCGAGTACTTTGCTTCGACTTATTGGTCGCTGATGAGCAGGCGAAATATAGTACTCTCTATTATCGTCATCAACACTTACAAATGTGAATGTCTGATCCATATGAGAGTCAAGTACAATTGGCGCTTCATTATTCAATGATTGTTGATAAATACAAAGAGTTCTGTTCGATTGATAGTGCCGAACACGATATTCACGGTGTCGAATGTGTTCGAGACGAAAAATGCACTGTTCGAGAGGTACGGCATTACCGATATAGACTCGGTTATCTTCTTCTCGAATTATCACAAATTTGTGTCCAAAGATATTCTCGATTTGATACAGTCCTTCGGTCATTTCCATACTCTGCTCATGCCATTGAAGTGTAGCTATATTCTGAGCTTCATTATCTGTCAGATTCAATGTTAAATGACGATAGGTAAAGGCTGCTTGTATTTGTGATTGCAAATAAAGATATATCGCGACGTTTGGATAAAGCCGTCTCTAATCGAAGAATATGTACAGTCATTGATTTTTTCTGAGATAATGAAAAAGTTAAGGGTACCCGCTTTCCAGAATCGATTTGCTACACAATGTAGGCGATCTTCGCAAAAGTTTACACAAATGTTGAACATGTAAAAATACAATTATAATTTGTTTCATCCCGCCAAACATCAGTGTTCAGTGTTTTCGAAAGATAAAGGTCCGAAACAAATCATCTGCCTGTACAAATTCCTTTTTATTGCACTATAAGATGCAGAACCTTTTACCCCTTTGGGTGAGGTGAAGGGATTTTCTCATTCTGAATTTTCTAGACAAAGCTAGAGTTTCTCTAACATAGATGACTAATTAAAAATATCGCCTCTCTCTATCATCCCCTTCTCATCGTTTCACACAAAAAATAGAGTTATGATGATTATGGGACACAATTTTCTATAGCTCATCCGGATCTCAGCAATATATACATATAAGATTCGCAAGATTCAATCTACTTTAGAAATTGTCTGTTTATTTTACAGAGTCTCATCATGAAAATTTGATGGATTTAATAGTTACCGATTTTTCTCCAGGTTACTATAGATCATACAAAAAAAACTCAAGAACAGTCAAGAATAAAAATCATCTTTTTGAAGAAAAATCAAACTTTTGGACGGGAGGTGGCCATACTTAACATTTTTGTTGCGAACAAATAAGAGCTCAGAAGTAATCGGAAATTTCAAGATGTATGCCACGCCTTCAGTGACTAAAAAAATTATATTCACTTCGCACATTTTTGTACATATTATCATCACAACATATTCGAAAAGTGTTTATGATTTCTTTGTTTCAACCTTACCTGCTTTCCTGCGATTGAAAAAGATTCAAGGTTCCAATGAACAAATAGTAAGTAATCGCGTATATCATGGTAGACTGTTGTGTAGAAAATATCGAGCATCTCAACATTTACACAATATTTTATCAAGTAATCACGGCCAGTCGAGACATCGAATGATCGACCACCTATAGCTAGATGACGAAGTTGCGAACCAAGTTTACTGAGAATATAAAGAGTAACAGAAGACGAAACATTTGTTAGATTAAGTGATTTGCCAATAAAGCACCGAACAGCAGCAGCAAGTCGTTCGTCTAACTCATAGAAAGCATAGATAACATCCGACTTACGCATTTGACCAAATATGAGATAGAGCACTTCAGTGGGTAATTGAATTAAATTGAAAGGATTCATTGCCTAGAGAAGAACACGATGAGATAATACGTTATGGATTGAATCTGGTGTGTGTATTACAAAGGCTCAAGTATTCGCAGTGAAATAACTGCAGATAGAAAATAATGTGCAGCTTGGCTCCATTTCTGCTTCCGAAGAGGGAAAAGCAAACAAATAATTGCTAACCAATGAGAGATGCACACATCGAACAGGCTATGCCGTTAGTAAGGAAAGAATACTAGGAATATCTTCATCTTGACGTCATTGTGTGTGTGTGGGCATTATAGAAAAACAAGGGAAGGAAAAATATCGAAAAAAAAACGTTTCAACGAAGAAGAATATTAAATAGTCAATAGTATTGATAATATAACGGTTGACGCATGAAGAACGACTTTCTAATATTTGTGCAATGTCTCCATCAATTTTACATCTGTTTGAACTAATCTTTTGATTCTGTACTAAACTGTTCAGTTCATTTTTTCCGTATGACTTGATTGTTTTTATTTTGCTATTTATTGTTACGCTCGGAAGTATTACATGGAAATATGAAAAGAAAATTTAGAAGCACAACAAGAAAAAAGATAGAGGAATGTTAGCACAAATCCAACGATACGACGGTAGACTATCATATGACACTGTCAATAGTAGAAGAAGGAAAGAGGAGAAAAAAGGAGAGGAAGATTAGAAAATAAAGGAAGTACGATAAAAAAGAAAAAAATAGGCACCTAATTGCACATGTAGGCATTTAGTCAAACAAAATTAATACATTTAAGGGGGCCTCCCCCCTCAAAAAAGCCATTTTTTTGCACAGTAATCGAAGTTGAATTTTTATCATAGAAAGATGCAGCAAAGTATCCTCTTTCAGAATATATATAAATTTTTAAAAAAAGGTCAAATTTTTACAGACTTTCGTAGGAGATTTCTACCTCACTACCCGGTTTTCGGAGAGATTTTTGCGGTTTTTGTTATTTTTGGGAAGACTACTTTTTTACTTCTATCAACATGGAATCAACATTCTTATATCATATAGTACGACCTGTAGTGCTAGCTTACACCATCTATTGCGTGCTTTCAAAAACTTCACATAAATATTATCATTATACCATTATTTCCTGCATTTGAATGAAAAATCCATTTCTAAAACTTCTTTTGCGTTTTTCTCAGAACATGGTTTCCGATCAGAAAAATTGGAACTCCTCCCTCATTTCTCGAGCTATACCTAATATTTTTTTTGTTTTAAAGGTCTCCGTAAGAGGAAACTTTTCATCGACCAGTTTTTTTAAAATCGATTCCTGGGCTGAGAAAAGTGGAATTTACTGTCGTCAGATCACTGTTTTTTAAGACATGTTTACTAAAATATTCATAAAAAATGAACAATATGGAATTTAAAAATTCTGGTCCATGAAAAGTTGCGTACTGACGTGGGCTTTAATTTGAAACCAGCCCGAGCTCTATACCTCTTACTGGGACGGAGTTTTGTCAATTCTCCTGAAGGCCAAAAATGACCTATAAATCAGCTGGAAATTCGGTCTAATATGACCTATAGCGCTGAAATTTTTACCAGAAGCATATCTCACTAAGATCACTCATCCCTGAAAATTTCAGCTCAAGCGGACCATTCTAAGTGGGAAATTTTTTCTGAGGGGGGTCCCCTTAAGCAGTAGAGTTTCATGTTTTTCTTTCAGTTTTTTCACTCTCTTCATCCGAAAGAAATTGCCAAGATTATCTTCTTGACTTTTGTTGAAATCGTTCAAGAAAAATGCGTCATCTTAGAGAGGAGATCGTCCAAAACCAGGCTTATACATTTGTTGCAACTTTTCTTCTATATATCTTATAGCGTAATAATCTAGAGTATTTTTATTGGTTACAGAAAACAAATTCCATTCTGACACAAAAAGACATCGGAGTATCAGTCTGATCTCAACTCGAAACTTTCGTTTCAATATGGGTGGATGCAGGTCTGATTGTAAATCTTCTTTTAACTCACATCCATAATTATTTGTAACAAATTGTTGTGTCGTTTCGTTCAATACACGGGGAAATATCTGTTCAAGTGGACACACGATTTCTCTTTCCGAGAAGCTATGAGTGATTTCGTGAAATTCTAGTTCTCGGTATTTTGATTGCAACGTCCTGTTTTAATGCGTTCAACAGATAAAATATACAGCAATAATAGTGTGACGATCTTTGGTAGAAAAAGTACTGGTGCACATGGAATTGCGCTTTATTCGGCATCCTCATGTCATCAATGGCATCATTTACTTACGCAACCTGGCGAGAGAACGACAGCAACAACAGGAATGACAATCATGAGAGAGGAAGTATTAAAGCGGTGTTGTTACAAATAGTTCTAACGGAGAGATTTATCGAGACATTGAATTACCAAAAAAGAATAATCACTTGTCACAGATATATGCTAAAAAAGTCAAAACTACTTCAAAATTTAATATTTCGATAAAGTAACACTTGTCTCGACAGAAATTTTCAAGATATTTTTTCAATCAAATAGGCCAATCGATAAGCAAAACTTGTACGTCGAAAATTCAGTAAGACGATCATAAGTGGATTCCAAAAATTCATGAAGATGAACCCTTGTCTTCCTGTTGAGGAATAAAATTTTCTATCTTTCATAGAGTATCTGTACCGCCTGGCTAACTATGGGTGAGAATACGATCTAAGTGTACTCTTTTATAGCATAAATAGCTAAAACAGCATTCTAATCGAGATAAGAAATGGTTTTATTAATATATGAGTTTCGAAATAGACTTGATGGTGAAAAAAAAATCGATATCTCAACAAAACAATATCAAAGTTAAAGAAACGATGCGAAAAATCATTTTTCGAGACTAGAACAAATTATTAGTTTCTAATATCTATTCGAATTCAGATTCTAATGGTTACACGATCATAGAAAACTTTACTTGTAGATAACCATAACATGGTTCGATAGTATAGATCTTAAATATAGTGACGACAATTTTGATGGTTTTAGATTATGAATCGCGATCTAAAACAAACCTTAAAGTAATTTGGTATGGTAGTTGCTCATTAGTTTTCTTTCACACTAACTGCATTATATCGCAATAGATACCTTGCATGAATTCATATTTTAATCCTGCAGGATATGTGCTAACAGTTTTTTTTTCTGTAGATTGGAATATCGGCAGAAATTAGTTAAAACAATTGTTTCTGAAGCACTTTCGATTTTTCTGATGGCTTCTGAATAGTTCAAGGAAGAATCAACTGTCTTGACTAAAAATTTTATCACCTTATTACAATCATAAGACTTAAAGACAAACTATTAGATAAAAAATTCTTTGTTCAATTTTTCTGCCAACATCTCATTCTATGATACAACAAAACTATCATCACTTTGTAAAGAAGACATATTGCTCTGAATCTTACATGAAGTTGTAATAAACCAAGAAAAATCAATACAGCAAAACGTTGAATATCATATTTAAATTGTTCAAGTATAATTAGATATAAACCTGTATCAGCAATACATAATAAACATTCTATTAAATTTAATGAATACCTAATTAATAAAAATAAAATTTTCATTACAAGAACAAACAAGTTTTGTTTCTTTTTCTCTACCATATCCACGTTTCTTTTATAGCGTTAAGTGAATGTTTAAGACGATGAATTAAAACAGAATGAGCTGGATGATCACTAAAACAAAATATCTTTGAATAACGAACTATTGGAGCAAGCTGTGATAACTATTTATGAAAAGGAAATATAAACGAATATGTTAAATTTTAATTTTTGATTTTAATTTTCAAACTTGTCCTTCAATATTATACCAATGTCCATGAAGTAAATCAATACATTGTTCAGCTATTCATGCTCGACAAAGTGCTCTTGCGAGTAATATAAGAGCTTCTTTTACAACATCTTTCCAATTTACAGTTGGTACCTACAAGGATAAATTTATTATCAAGAAAAAAAACAATTTTTTATGATTTTTATAACAAAACATTTATTGCTATTACAAATGTGTCAAAAATCCATCTTTGCGATGAACTTTTATTATTATTTGTTACCTCTATTCAATTCAAAATTATTTTTAAAAATTATCTTTTTTCTTTCGCTTACGTAAATCGATGCATTTTCAGTAAGGTTTGAATGAAATTTAATCATAGATGAAAGTATTCGTGCAGTATTTGACAGTTTTAATTCTTGTCAACCAAAAGAACTCATGTATTTCGACAATGTTCAGTTGGCGATGTTAAATCATAACCCATTTCAAGAATAACATCAGACAATAGGCTATTCATTTGCCACTTATCAAATAAAAATAATAAAATTTTTTTCACCAATAAAATCTATTTATTTCTTCATACCACGAATGTTGAAAGGTTACTAGAATTCGATAATATTTGTGTAGATGTGAGATTATTTTATATAATATTCGATAGATAAAGTGTACGAAGGAGATATTAGTAAATTATTATTGCCTATTCGTTCAACTGATTATTCTAAAAGATGGTTCTTAATAAAAGCATTTCATTTTCTGAAAATAATTATTAAAAGAAACCTTTTCATAGCGAAGTGAGTCGTTGCTTGAATATATTCATTACAATTAATAAAATAAAAATAACATCACTTTCTTATTTATATTACCAATAACCATTTATCCTAGCGAATGTGATAGTTAAAAACCTGAAGCAAAAAAGACAAAAAATTTGACTGTATGCATTATTTTACATATGTCGTTAGACAACAAAATTTCCATTCAAAAAAAAAATACTAATAATAATAATTTAAAAAAATTAAAAATCAAATCAATGACAATTATGTCTCATTTTCATTTCTTTTGCTTCTATACTCCCATTAGAAAAAGAGTCATGGATAATACGACAAAATTTGTAATTTTTATCACCTTTCAGAAAAACACAGATTTATGTGTTCGTTTATCTAAGATTTTTACATTTAATTTAAATATTTGCTTCATTTTGATAATGATTGTTATTTGATTTGAACAGTTGAATAATAAATACCTTTAGTATCCTGATGATGATGTTTTTTCATTAATATTTGTAAGATAATTTCGAGGGTCGATGCGGATATTAAACAAAAAGAATCACATCCACACCAACGCCCCGAGATTCTATCCTTGTTTTCTGAAGGATTTCCGAGTAGTCCTTAAAAGCTCTACCAGGAACTGCTTTGGTGTCCGTGGCACACGATCGAACCTTCAGACTCACTGACATATGACATTGAATGGGTGCATGTGAATGACGTGAGTCTTCGCGCGCGTGAATAGAATGAGTATTTCTTTCATCAATTCAACGTGGATTTATTTGAAGGAAAGAATAGAAAAAAAATCCATCGTTTTCAATTCATTCGATTGAAAATCGTTGAACACGATTATTGTTCGTATCGACGACATAGAGATTGCCTTGTCGATCGAAGGAGAAACCGACAGGATATTTCAACTGATTTGCTCCTTCTCCTTCACCATTGCCTCCGACAATGACAGTGCCTTGTTTCGCTCCTTTAGGCCAACGCATCACTCGATTATTTTCCAAGTCTGCCACATAGATGGTACCCAACGTATCGACGAACAGTCCGTAAGGACTCCACACTTGTGTCAGAGAACTCCCTTCGCCTTGACCTCCAGCGACGACAATTCCTTCTTTTGCACCTTTATTCCATTTCATCACACGATAATTGTCTCTATCTGACACGTAGACAGTCTGTTGTTGATCGACAAAGATGTAACCCGGAACATTGAGTTGATTAAGACCAGCACCTTTGCCATTACCACCAGCCACGAGAGTTCCATTCTTGTCTCCTATTTCAAATCGTCTTACTTCATGTTTTTCGACGTCAGAGATGTAGATATATCTCTGATCATTCATGGCTAATCCTCCACATTTGATGTTGTCAATGAGGATTTCTCCTTGATTTGTGCCTCTACGACGAGACCATCGTACGACTCGTCGATTCCAGTAATCACAAATAATGAGACAATCCATCTCTTTGTCAATCAACAGATCGGTTGGACAATTCAATTGATCCAATCGTTTTCCTTCACCATTGCCACCAGCTACCACTTGTCCATTCGTATCACCCATTTTCCATTGAATGATACGATGATTCCCATACTCAGCGATGACCATCGTTTGATCATCATCAACGAAGAGACCCTGAGGGCATGAAAGTTCATTGGTGGTACTGCCTTCTCCATGACCTCCAGCAACCGTCACTCCATTCTGTGTCCAACGGGCATTGACTGGGATATTGGGAATTACTACAATGAACGAGAACAAGAAAAGAAAAACATCATTATTGTTGCCTATGAATAAAATATTCTTCTTCATCGAGGAGAACTTGATAAAACTTTCGAGACTATCTTTCTCTAACATACTCTAAACAAGAAGAGGTTCTTCTAGTTTCATATGCAACAAAAAAGAACTTAGTAACGATTCTTACGAGAATCGTTTGAGATTTCTGGAAAGAGTTTTTTTTTTCGAGAATAAGAATTTCTGAACCACTGCGAAGAGTGATGCTAATCTTATGGAAGCTTAATTCGTTGAAAAAAAAAACTGAGAAGATTCTATCTGGATCTTGATCCTAGGTTGAAAGAACGTATAGGAGGTTGTTGTAGGAGTTAACATTCTTCAAAATGTTGAGAAGTCTAATGCTAATAGTATGTTACCTATCGATTGGAAAACATCGAGATTTTAGTCATGGTTTTTATTATCAGTTCCAGCATTTTTATAACGATTTTATAAGGAGAATGCCAAAAATAAGGATTTCAGGATGCTTTTCCTTTGCTTTGATGACATTCGTTAGGTAGTTGTCTCTAAAGTTATGTCAAACGTTGTATTCTATGCTGATCGTTGAAAACTACAGGGTAATTGAAAAGTTTTGACCCCTCTTAGAGAACTAAGGATATGTATGATAAACCTATATATAGTTCTTTAAAAAAGACACTTTGAAATGCATCAATGTAGTCTTATGATATGATAATTCGACTAATCTTGACTGAATATTAAATTTTTTCCATTATATCAATAGTTTTTTGTTTGACATTTTCATGGTTGTTTAAATCTTGTCGAACAATGCCTCATAAGTTTTATATTGGCTGCATTTCATCTATCTGGTTTTAGGATACACACTGGAGCTTTTTTATAAAGGACTATAGAACGGTAACGATAGCTAACTTTTTCTACTGTCCAATTGACTCGTCTCATGAAATATTCTATTCTATTCCTGGCTATCTGAAAAACAAAACATTAACGAGTAAGTCATAAAGAATTTCATTGTTAGTGGTTTCAATGTGACTGTTCTATTTTCCAATTGATTGAAACGTTTATTTTTATCAAAACATTGAACTTGAGATTCTCTGCAAAGTTTTATACGATTTGATCCCAAAATTATTTCAGATTTAATAGAAAAAAGTGGAAATTAAACGCAACCGATTTGTAAATAAAAAGCCGATGAGCAACGCTAACTAGATCCATGTCTCACATCCCCACCCATATATCACATATAGATTGGCTCGTCCCAGTCGTCTTTTTTAATTGGGTGCGGCTGTGGGTTTTCATTTCAATCACACTAGTACACCCAGACTTTCAAGATAGATACAATGTAGAAGACGGAAAATTTATAGGCGACTATAAGGCTTTCACCGCAGAACACAATATGTGTAGGCTTTCATAGTTAGGCTTCGGCTATCTAATGATGATGTATATACACTATCAAATTCTATTGCGTGCCGTTGAGGTGTCCATAGAGCTTGCTGGTACTTACACCATTACATATAAAAAAATCTTCCTCTACGAATCTACACATATCTCGTTCTGGGATAAAAAATTACTACGACACTTATAGTCGCCTTTGTATGTATCGGCAACTGCAATTTCGTTTTCGATAAAAACAGAGGGGAGCAATTTGTCACAGACTATGGTTCAATTCCTTTTGAAACTACCTCCTAAGACTACAAGCAAACATTGTCGAGTACTTTAGCATCACTGGTACTCATACGTCTGTTGCTTCTCTTCTAAATAATTCTCCATTTTTCAAGCGAAATTCGACTTTTTGTAGCTCTTACCCTTTTTTAGTTGCGCGTTTGTATGCTCAAGCATCACATGCCAACGTGGTTGCTCATAGCAAACCAATTGAAGAAGGTTTCCATTATTATGTAACGACTGTAGCTGCACCATATCATTGTCTGCCACTTGACAATTGTAAAACTCCAGATGAGTCAACGTATTACGTTCTTTCGAAGCGTGAATGAATGCTTCTGTGAGTTCACGTGAGATAACTGATGCAGATATACAAAGACATGAAATAAATTTATCATTTTTCAATGACTTTATCAAATGAGTTTCTTTCTGATTTGACGGTCGTATATCTTGAATGTGCAGACTGAGAGATTTGATTGACTTGTGGCTTCTCAATGTGTCCAGGAGATTGACAATGAAAGTTTCGTCTTCGAAACCAATCTCATCCATCAGATCGATTTCAACAAGTGTTTTATTTTTCTTCAACATTTCACAGAAACGAGATAATGTTGAGGGTACACGCAGCGAATGCGTCAGTTTTAGTTGACGTAGTGCGTTTGTTTTCGCAGTAAATACAGTATTGATGAGATCGATGTTGTTAGAATACTCTACAATAAGTTCTGTCACCTTTTCATCGTCATCAAGGCACTGCTGGAGATCACGTTCGTACCCTAGAAAGTCACACGCTGAGAGATCTAATGTTCGACGTATTTTGTTTTTCTGCAAAAGTTGGATAAGCATTAGTTTATTTCCATCCTCATAACTGTCGTAAAAGCGAACTTTAAACGATCGATTGTATAATTCTGCTGTCATGTATTTGCATGTAAAGCTTCTTCCAAACAGCCGGCGAACATCAACAGTGGTCATTATTAAATTATGAATCGAAGAGCGGTTAATGACAATATCAAGAAGTACTCCGAGATCACTCTCGAAAAATGAACACTCTTGAAATATCAACTTCTGAATGTTAAAACCCTTGGTAAGAGCTTCACACAACATTTTGACATTTTTTTCGGTTATTTTCGTTCCAATCACAATTGCTTCTTTGGTTTTCTCATTGAATTTACCACCCATAGCCTCGAATTCGTCAATATATTTACGCATTTTCTTATTATAACTTATTTCATCATAGTGTTCGAGACAAACCCAACGAACATGGCCATCAGCAGTAACTATGCGATACAAGTTACCAAGGCTACGCTTATTATCTATACGTTCCAAGAACGTGTCAAGTTCTCGTAGGTCGGCTCCTTGAAGTGGAGCTACTTGTGACTTCTTGAGCCGCAGTACTGAAGCATCTGCTCGGCTTTCTTGGTTATCGAATTTATCGATTAAATTGTTCACCAATTGTAATTGCTGTTGCATGGTTTCGTAGGACTCAGAAGTTTGTAATTGTGAAGGTAGAACAGTGGTAACCGCTGTTGACACATTTCCTAGCTGTGGAATGGCAACACTTCCTGCCTGGAGGAACAATTCAACAATGTTTATAGTTATTCGTAGATACGGTCCATATGTCATAATAAAGTCTCGCATCTTTTTAAGTGAGTAACCCTCATGTGGAGCAATATGCATCTGTCTTGGATTCTCGGAACATTCGCATAGGAAAAATAGCTTGTAATGCAACTGAAACCAGTTCTGTACATTGTTAATTAATGCTGCCATGGAGTTCTTTGCTGGTAAAATAAAGAAATAGCGCGGTGTGGTAAACTCATGCAGCTCATACATTTGTGTCATCACATGCCTAATCTGACGTAGCATTTCTTGTGTATTGGCGTCGATACGATCGATTTTGCCTTCAATTCGATCTAGGCAATCACGAGTGTCATGATCAGAATGTCCTAGAGGCTCTCGGGCCTCAACAGTTTTGTTAACACACGCGACGATGCGCAACGGTTCTAGGTCATTGCCATCTTCATCATGAATGAATGTTTGTTGTACATTGTCTAAGTACAAGGTCGTTACCATTGGAAACCGTCGTTGAACATCTTTCAGACGCAGGCATTCGATGCCATGAATAATAACGGTTTGCATCTCAACAATCTGATCGCGAAACTTAACTGTTTGCCTTCCCATATTAAGGGTGTTTTGTGCCATGACCTGTTTAGTCAAGGAAAAAAAATTTCTCTCTCACCTTTTGCCAAGTGATAATCTAGAGTGTCAATAGAAGACAGCACAGTGATATTAGTACTATATACCTAAGAGTGCAGGCAGATATATGTTCAGTGTCGATCTCCCCTTCAGTTTTTTATTCATCTGGTGACTAGATGGGCTGATGAGTGGGTGAGAGTAAGTGTGGATATGTTGATATAGGCTTTAGTTTGTGAAAATGAGAGCGGTAGGGGCGCACGTGAGACTAGATGCGTAGGGTGTGAGTGTGGGATGCGTGTTACGAAAAAGATCCACCACATCCGCACCCATACCATTTGTGGTCGGAATTTTTTTCAGCACCTTGCACAATCATGTGTGGAAAGAAGCTATTGGTGCTCAGTTGCAGCTATATGTCGGTAGTATCATTGTACTATGTTTATACTTTCTCATGACATTCCAAGTCACATTATCTTAATACCTCGATTTCAGTCTCTCGGCTAACGGAAGATGATGAATAGACTGGAACAAAGAAGAAGCAAACTGATCATATAAAATAGAGACTTCGTTGTAGAATGTAAGTCCATAAACTGATTGAACTTTTATGCGATGGCTTCAACCAAGTAGATTCACTAGGTCATTGATCAACAAACAATGATCAATCGATCGAGTGAACGTAAATCGATCATAGGTATCAATGTCAAGTCTGTTGCAGTTCTTTCTAATCAGTATACCGATCATATATTTGTAACAGAATTCGAGAGTTTTACCCATCTATTCTATACCTTTAGGGAGAAGGGAACAGTACAAAAAGAAAAGGAAAGGGAGATGATGAGCCAAAAGTGACTCAAGAATAAGGCACGAACAATGCTACTGACACTTACATACGAAAGCATAGAGCGAAAAAGGGAATACAAAGATAGAGATATATAACTGATGACTCATTATCCGTTACAATATCAAGTATGTTTATGACTTTT